AAAAAAATTAAAAATAAAACAAGTTAAAAAAAACTATAAAAAAGTAAAATATAAAGAAATTTCCCATTAAAAAAAAAAAGAAAGAAAGAAAAAGAGAAATCATCCGAAGAGCTTGCTAAAAATGGTCCTAGACTTCACCTGTCTGTGAACTAGCAAGCCTGGGCAAGGGTCGGGGACTCTGTATTTTTAACAACCTCCTTCAAGCTCTGGCATTTCCAAGGCCCCCTTCCTTTGTGCTTCTCTCTCTCTGCCCTCAGATTCCTGAAGAACTTGCTAGTGATGGGAAAGAGGCCTCCTCTTTTCAAAAGATATGACTTCACAGACACGCTCTGCGAAGACACAGCCCCGTGAGCTCTTTCCGCCCCTAGACTCACGGGTTCAGAAACAGACACACACGCATGCCTGGGTGCACACAGGGGGTCCTTCTTGGCCAGGCATCATGGAGATTTCTAGAGCATGCCCTCACGCCGCTGCAGAAATAGCACGGCCTCTACAGAACTTCCCTGCCTACGCACTCCCTAATGGGCTGCTTTATAAACACCAGGGTCATTCCTGGAATGGCAAAGACCTGGGGAGGGTCAGCGCTGAGGCAGAACGTTTGAGAAAACAAAAACATGCTCAAATTCAGCCAAGGTCCTCTGGGATTCAGTGAGCCAGGCTGTCCTTGAAGAGCCAGAGAAACTGATACCAAGATGGCAAATAGCACTCTCAGCTTTCACTCCTTTCTGTGGGTCCCAAACATTTCTCCTCCGGTTCAACTGAAGTCATCCAACAACCCAGCAAGGTGACCTGTCTGCCGAAAGCCCATGGGAGCAGACGGTGTACTTTGGTGCAAACTTGGACCGGGGACTATGGGAACGGGAAGAATGAGCCTGACCCAGTGATTCGACATCTCTCAGATATGCGTGCGGTGGGCACACGGGCAACAATGTTCATTACGGCATCATCTGTGGTTGCAAAAAACACCATCGGCAATGCGATCCAAACAGGAGAATGGATGAATAAAATCAGCAGAGTAATAACAATGGAATAATACCCAACAGCTGGCAAGAATCACTCTGACCCGTGATCGCTCAGAGATCTACCCAACATGAACAGATCTCAAAAACCTAATATTGACAGAGCAAAAAAGTGGCAGAAGGACACCTCTTGGGCACATTTAACTTATCTTCAGAGAACAAATCCAGATGCTGGCTATCCATTAGCAAATTTGTTTAGCCGAGGAAAAGAAACACTAAGTAATGCATGCCGGTGGCTGCCTCTGGGGACAAGGGACGGCAACAAGAGGCTGGTGGGGAAGGCCATCAGGAAAAGATTTTTAAAGAGACATAAAGCAAAAATGACAAAATATCAACCGCTCCCAATTCTGGGTGGTAGACTGGAGTTACTGCGTTATTCTTATTATTGGCTGCAGTGTTACCATTTTAAGATTTTATTTTTAAGTAATCAGTAATCTCTACATGCAATGTGGGGCTCAAACCCACAACCCCAAGATCAAGAGTCACCCACTCCATCGACCAAGCCAGCCAGGCACTCCGCAACCGTTTTTCTTTTAAAAGTCACTTCCTAGGGCAGTTGGGGAGCTCGGTCAGTTGAGCAAC